CTGCACTGGGCTCCGTGCTCGGCGGGAAGCCTGCTTCTCCCTCTCCCACTCCCCCCTGCTTGTGTTCCTGCTCTTGCTGTCTCGCTCTCTGTCAAATAAATAAATAAAATCTTAAAAAAAAACAACAACAATGCATTAAGAATAGACATGTAGACAGAAAATGGATTAGTCATTGTGTGGTGTGGGAAGGAGATGGAGATTACCAGTAATGGGCATCAGGATCTTAATGTGGTGATGGAAATACTCTAAAACTGATTTATGGTGATGTTGCATCACTTGGTAAACTGGTAAATTTACTTAAAATATCATTATACTTCAAATGAGTGGATTATATGGCATATAAAAATGCTTCAATAATATTATATATAAAAACGAATGCAATGAATGAGAGAAGCAAGACACCAAAAAGCATATGCTATATGAATTCATGTATTTAAATTATGAAATGGGCAAAAATGATTTAAGGTATTAGAAGGCTCAATAGCAGCAAAAGTTGGGGTGGGAATAGACAATGGCTGGTGCAGAGTATGAAGGGGTACCTCTGAGATGCTGTTAACGTTCTATGTCTTCATCTGGTTGTTAGTGGGATGCGCTTTGTTTGTGAAAATTCACTGAATTGTATATATTTATGATACGAGCAATTTTCCATATGCATATTACCTCAATAAATGTACACTATATACACATACATATATACCTGTTCACAAATGCCTTTTCAATTTGAACAATATATGCAATTCTACGTAAAGTAATACTGTTATAGCACGTATTTAAAATATGTGTCCAAAAAGACGGCCTGAGGAAGTCATATGATATTCAAACTTCCCACATTTAGATGGAGTTTATGTCCAACTACTAAGAACTCCAACAGGACTTTGTATTGACGAGGGGGATAGCATCAAGCTAGTTTATTATCAAATCATCAAGGTTTCTTAAGAGCATATGAACTGGATCTATGCGGAGACTGGTGGGAGGCTCGCCTCAAGTTGTAGCACTTTCCAAAGAGGCTTTGGAGAAACTAAATGGTGCAGAGCAGGCACCAATAAGCTTTTGAAGAGTGAGAAGAGGTTGGGTGAGGGATTAGTGAAGGGAAGCTGTCCCCTCATGCTCTTTTTGGTGCCTTATATACCTAATATATCTTATATATCTAATATATTTTATATCTAATATCACTTTGGTCTCTTCTGGTTCCACAGACCCTGCCATCCTTCAAGGACCAGCTTAACCTTCTCTCTCCAATGAACACTCTTTAACATTATCTGGCCAAAAGAGCTTTCCTCCTTTTTTTGAACTCCTCAATAAATCTAAATGCAATAAAAATAAAATACTGAGCAAATAATCTGTTTGTTTTTTATCTGCCAAAAAGCTATAGGTGTGTGGGCAGGAACCATGCTTAGCTTAATCATCCACCAAACTCCAGAGCTGTCAGGGTGCACTCAGAATTTCAAGTGTTGGTGGAGTTAAAAATGGAAATATTTCCATTAATAGCCGAAGATAACAAGAAACCTCAGCTGCATTCAAAATGTAAAATTTCTGCAGTTATCAGTTGCCAACAGTCATTTTCACATTTAGATTCTAAAGCTATATGTACCATTTTTTTAAATCTCTCTAGTGTGTAAGTGTAAAATAAAAAGAAACAAAAATCACTCAGATAATAGAATTAAGAAAGCTTTTAAGTGGCACGACACCATCGGAGAGCACATTTACTTATTCATTTACACATCATTAAACATCAGAAGTTAGTTTTAGGTAAAATCAAGAGAAAGTCTGCCCTCTAGAAGCCTACAATTTACTTTAGACAAAGCAACTGTCTGGGGTGTGATAATACGGGTTTATTAATGTTTAGCTGCAATAAAGAAGGATGCAGATGATAACAAGTGAGTGAGAATACAAGTTCCGAGAAGGATAAGGAAATGTCTTCTGACATTTTAATAAGTCTTCTAGCAGGATAATGAAAGAAGAGAAAAAGCACAGAACTTTCAGAGGGGATGAGGGCAAAATGGCATAAAAACACACTTGGATTTGAGAACACGAGGTGTAATCGGCAAGACAGTGAAGAATCTGGCAACTCTAGGGCAGGTATCAGATTCAAAGTTCTACTGGGGAAAAACATGGAAATCAAGTGCCACATCCTTTAGATTCAAGTCCCCAATTTTTCACACATAACTAATATTTTATTATACGGTTTTATTTATGTATTTGTTCAATGTGTATTCAAATATCTACATGAATACTATTTCATGTCTGCCCTTGCCTGTAACATCTGTCTAATTTATGAGACTGAAGCAAGTTATGAAGGCTGTTTAACAAGGTTATACAAGGATACACAAAAACATTTTGTATTTTGTAACATAATCCTCTAAGCGAGAGACATGCTTAAAAATGTTTAGACACTGATATAATGTCTTTCTAGAACTTTAAATGAGAGAAAACAATAATTATCTAAATATCTTTTAGAAAAGTTCCCCCATTATAATTTTAATTCAAATTGATTATTTAAGCTGTCCGTATCATTATTAATATGATACATCCATATAATAATTAGAAATTATTAGATTATTTAACATGCTGTCACTCGCAGGGCAGTGAAAGTTCACTAATTAAAAAGCAGCTGAAGCTGACATGGCCATCTCATCTCTTAAGAACTTACAAGATGGAACCTGACTTCTTCTAAGAGTCAAAAGCATTTATTTACAAGTGTAAATGTAGTATATTTAGCAGTCCAAACACAACCAAGGAACTTGCCTCCATACAGAATTAACCACAATTATTTCAGCTGACAATTCTTACTTGAGAAACCACCAGGGGTCTTCCACAAATGATTCACTCAGGGTGCTTAAAGCAATTTTACTCTTCAGATTTGTCACTTTATAGACACATCCCATATAATTCAGCAGCTTGAGAGGATCCATTGTAACTATTTTTTGTAATAATTATAAGATTAAAGGCTTATTTTGGGAGCCATTAATAATATCAGTAAAAGGATTAAAACAATTTCAATGAAAATCATAAAGAGATCAAAGAGCTAGTGAAGTTAATGCTTCTGCTACATTTAAAATGAAAGGCTAATCACAGAAAAGCAGAATTTCCTCCTCGACCTACACCTCGAATGCATAAAGAATCCATTTTTGTTTGTTGGTCTGACAGAAATAAATAAAATAAAATAACAATTTAGTCATAGTGCCCATTCATACTACACATGGAAAATCACTCAGGACAGACACCATTATAACACTTACACATAATGAAGTAATTAGACCTCTTGTAGGCATAACATCAGAGAATTTAACCATAGTTGGAGGCATGTCAAATATATAACAAGAAGAGACATACAATGAGAGATAAGAATGAAACACACAAGAAGAACCAAACACAACCAAACTTACATCAAATGGAATCCCTAATTTAAAATCTTATTTCTCATTAATATTCACCTTAGCATGAGTTAGCATTTTAGAAATAGACAAGCAAAAGCACTTAGATTTGCCCAGAGAGACCATTAATCCTTCAAGCACACTTCAGATGTTTTGATCATCAAAAACCGGGCACGTTATAATTTCTATTAACAGTTTATACAACAGTAATTTATAAAAAAAAGATACTATCAATTTATTAATCACACACAAACATACATATCAGAATTTTAAGCATCAAGAAGACAAATAGTTAAAAACAATGCAGGCTTTCTCAAGCACAAGAAAGGTAAGCCTCAAGAACTATTGTTTGTGCTTTTATATACTTGAATTTGTTTATTTTTACATATGCTATGACTTCCCCCATATTTTAAGAACTCCTTAAATAATAGAAGAAAATAATTGGCTAAATAGAAATCCTAATGAAAAAAATAATTCACTAAATAAGTAATTTACTGATTATTTTAAAATTACTTTGTGAGCAAGTAGTCAGAAAGTATGAAGGCGGGGCGCCTGGGTGGCTCAGATGGTTAAGCAACTGCCTTCGGCTCAGGTCATGATCCTGGAGTCCCGGGATCGAGACCCACATCAGGCTCCCTGCTCAGCAGGGAGTCTGCTTCTCCCTCTGACTGCCCCCATGCTCTCTCTCATTCTCTCTCTCAAATAAATAAATAAAATCTTTCAAAAAAGTATGAAGGCCTATAGTAAATGATTTCACTAATTTCTGAGAAATCATAGTAATACTGAACACTAACCATTTCCTTTAGAATTGAAGATCTTTTCTTTATCCAATGATATGATATTATATATAATTATATTATATATATTATTTACATTATTTGAACATGGTAATATTGTGAATAGCTTAAATGAGTATTACTAGATAACAAAGTAATACTTTTTTCATTGTTTTTCAAGGCCAAATAATCATTAATCAATAGCCTTTTACTACATTTTGATTAATGGTTACAAAAATTGCCTATTAACTTTTCTTCTTTTTCATACATTGATAGAAAATATTTATTAGCAGTAAAATAATTTTTCTGAAATTTTTGGAGAAAATTACAAAAGTCTGTTTTTGAAAACTGTGAAAAATAAATTTAGTTTCTCATCTATAGAGCCCAGTTCTAGAGAAGTCAGAGTACACCATGAAACCAAATAACTAATCTAATAAATTTTAATAATTTCCAAATGCCATTTTTAATCTCTAATACCAACACTTTAGTGATATGGGAAACCAGTTTGAAACTGAAAAAGTGGTTCTTTTTTTTAAAGATTTTATTTATTTATTTGACAGAGAGAGACACAGTGAGAGGGAACACAAGCAGGGGAAGTGGGAGAGGGAGAAGCAGGCTTCCCGCTGAGGAGGGAGCTCGATGCGGGGCTCAATCCCAAGACCTTGGGATCATGACCTGAGCCAAAGGCAGACGCTTAATGACTGAGCCACCCAGGTACCCCGAAAAAGTAGTTCAAATTATTCTAAAATATACAATGCTATTTGTATTCTTACCTATGCTCAATATGTCACCCAGATTCATGCTGAGAGTTTATACTAAATGCACAAAAAAAAGATTAGAAGTATCATACCTTTGAGACATAATCTTATAGGCATCTGGCAGGTAGCATCGGATATTCTCCATCTGAGCAGGGTCAGAGTCACAAATTTTGTCATCAGTCCTCCCATAGTTGGCACTTTCTATCATGATGACATCCGTTCCTGGACAGCGGAGCTCTATGGGGTAGCTCTCACAGGAGAGCTCTCTGCGGACCACAGCCATCGGAATTGGGGCACGGCTGAAAGCTACCGGAAGGAGGAGGAAGAAACGTCAGTCATCTTTATGACATACAAAGGAAAAGTACCTGTGTTTGCTTTTCCAGTGTTTGGGGTAAACTAATACCAAAAAATAAACCAGTTGCAATTAACAATTTTAGCTAAAACAGAAAACTTCTCACTTCAATAAATTTAGAGGACTTTTAAAAATCTAAGAATAACAGCTATTTCATAAAACCTTATCTAATACAGTGTTCTTATAAATGAAAGAAAAAAGAACACTCGATTTTCTAAAACTTTAGCCGGTATGTGAGGTAAAGTCAATGTAGAAATATTATCCAGTTTGTAGAGAAAGATTCTCAGGTAAACCTCAGGGGTATCATATGTGTGTCTTGTTTTATTTTGTTTTATGGAAACTATTACCAAAAATTGCATTTTTGTTGAGTTCATATAATCTTAAGTATTCTATTTCAATTTGAAAACATGATTTCATTTTACAGTAAAAAATAATATAATCAGTATACTTTATAATTTAATTATACTGATAATAAGTGTTCTTTAGGAAAGCAGAGATTTATATGGAGAAAAACTAAATTTTCCTTCAGCTCTCTCCACACACTTTCCCCTCACTGTCAAGACATAACCAGATAGCATTGTGGTGACCCTCCTATTAGAATTTTCTACAGAAAAACAAATAGACATTGTATGTTTCCTCCTACCCTTCTTTATATTTTATTCAGGTGGTGTTACACTACACATGTTGTTTGATACCTTGATTTATTTTATTTATTATTTTAATGAACATCTCTTTTCATTTCTGTATTGTAGTCCTCATTTTAATAGCTGCATTTTATATACCTATAAACATTATATAATTGATCTTATGTTGATGTGCATTTGGGAATGTCCATGTGTTTTTGTCATAATACTGTAAAGAAGTATAAACGTATTTGTGTACCTTGGCTATAATATTTTAGAAAAAATATAATTATCCAAATATATTTTATGTATGTTTTTATAAATGAAATTGATGGACCAAAGGGGAAATATATTTCAAGTTTGGCAAAAATCAACAACTAGATATCCAAAAAACTTAAGAAACATGTACAGTTCTACCAGCAGCACTTTTCATTGCAAAACAACATATTACCAATTCCTTTAAATTTTGCCAATGTGATAGACAAATAATGGTAAAATATCCTTTTTACAAAATTTTCAGTATTCTATTTGTACAATGGAATATATTTTCATGTTTATCACCTTTCAAATTCCTTTTATTTATGAATTGCTTGCTCACATTTATACATGGGTCACTATTGTAAAAGTTCTTTGTATAACAAAAATTAAAAATTGGTCCTTTATATTTGTGGCAAATACGTTCTTTTAGTTTGTTGTTTGATTTTAGATGTTTGCTGAACATATGTATTTCATTTTTACACAGGGAATTACCCATCTTTTCATGTCGAGTTTATGTTTCCCACTCCAAGATTGTGAACATAATCAGTACATTATTGGAAGAAAGTCAAATGTTTAATTGTAAAAACTCAAGTTTTCTTTTAAAAGCATATAATTGAAATTCTAAATTAAGCGTTTATCAATCATCTAATAAGTGAATTTCCACATAACAGAAATAATTATAGAGATCCATACATGATAGCTATAAATATGCATTATTTGATTAATTCGCTAATGTGTACATATACAAAAATATGTATTTAAATAAATACATGCAACTTTTCCTGTAGCTTTTTTACAAAGCATGAAATGTGAAAATAAAAGAAGAGAGGAGAGAAACAATGAGTGGAGGTAGAGAAAGAAAAATTTTATTATTCTAAGTATTTTCACTTAAAACTTAAAAGAAATATTGATTTGGGGGATGCCTGGGTGGCTCAATCAGTTAAGCATCTGCCTCCCGCTTGGGTCATGATCCCAGAGTCCTGGGATGGAGCCCAACATTGAGCTCCCTGCTCAGCTGGGAGTCTGCTTCTCTCTCTCCCTCTGCCCCTGCTCATGCTCATGCTCTCTCGCTCACTCTTTCCCTTAAATAAATAATCTTTAAAAAAATATAATTTGGTTTGTGAAATCATACGATTATTTCAAAATTGGGAATGATATTAGTTTTTATGTCATTTCTGTAATGTTTCAGAAAAGCTACAACTGTACCATACACCGCATGTATAACTTCTGAGCAGGTCCCTTAAAGTTCTCAAGCAGCACATATAGGTAATTCCATTCTGGTTGTTATTCAACAACCATCTTGTTTGCTCTGTCACTCTCTCTCTCTCTCTCACACACATACACACACAGAAGAATCTAGCACATCCATAGCATTCATCAGAGAGTTAACATAATTAGAGGTTGGTTGTAACATTATTTTTAAAGTTTGCTCTCGAGTCAACATTTTGACAGGATATTCCCACAATAGAGAGACACTGAATTTCTGAAATATGCATTTCTATTTTTCTTAAAATAAAATAAAATATCCTTGTTTCTCTATCATTCTGAAATTAGATGGTTGTTTAAACACGACATCCTTTTTAATAGTGAGGTTTCTAAAAAAAGAAGTGGGATTTCAGTTTTCAAGGATAAAGACATTTTCATTAATGTATTTAGTATTTTAAGTAATGGAATCATTGAATAATAAAAATATTCCAAAGTGGGGATCCAGTTTCATGACTTAGGTATGGAATCATAGGGGGTGTTTTTGTTTCTTTGGTTTTTATTTTTCGCTTTAATAAAAGGTTTCTGAAAACAGAATTTTCCAGGAAATTTTTTAGCATTTGCTAAAAGGCAATTTGTTTCTTAACTTTGGTATAACTATTTTAAAAATAACATTGAAACCGCTTCCAAACATTGAATTGATCTGGCTATATTTTAACTTAAACAATTAAGTTAAATTAAGTTAAAAAGCAAGTTAATTTAACAAGGAAACAAAACAAATAAGCAAATCATACAATTAAAGCATTTGTTTGACTAAGTGGATAATTTGGTTAATTAAATTCATCAGTCAATTTTTGTCAAAACATGTGTACACAGAGAAAGCTTTATTCTGGTTCTTAATTGTCAAAAATATGATTTAGAACCAGACCCTCGACAGTTGCAAAGTCAACTAAAATGTGGAGGCCAAAATTTTCCATGTATCTCTTTTGACCCTGTAAGAATTATGCATAAGTTATGTATATGGCAATTTTTACAGAGAGCCAGAGGTGATTTGTGGATGCTTTCTTCCATTTAACATATAATTGCATTTGTATCAGTAACCCAGTGATAAATTACACTCCTAAATGATGGATGCTTTGTGTAAAGGAATGTATTACTGGAAACTATCACATTGTCTAATTAGCTATTTAAATTACTTTTAATTATATTGCTAAATGCTTTAATCAGCAACCAAAGTCCAATGGAAAAAAAATATGCTTAAGTTAAAAGTTTTTTTGTTTTTTTTTTTAACCATTCAGTTATTGTGCTAACAACAGAGAGATTTTGTTTAGTAAAGACTAAGACATGGGAAATGTCAACAATTCAAATTCAGGATAGTCTGTGAAATTGTCTATTCCATATTGTATTAGGGTAATATTGCATTGGGCATTGGGAAGTGGCTGTGGGAAAATAATTTGGGGCAAAGAAGGCATATTCTTGAACTCCTCCTCACTTTTATTCCATGAGTTAATCTGTTATAACAAGGAACAGAGTATCATCATTAGATGTGTAATAGGTATTAGCTAAATAAATCGGAAAAACATTACCCACTGACCATGGGACGAAGGAGGCATGGACGAAATGAAGCTTCTCTACTAAAGATGGCCAGAACCTCAGCAAATGTCCAGGTTCCACGGCAAACACACACCTAATGAAAAGTGCTCCTGACCAGGGATTAAAATAACACCAGAAAAAGCTCCCTGTCCTTGCTCCCTAGTTTCAGCAAAAAACACTTCCATGTTTTCTTTTCTAAGGCCTCAGCCACTCTGTTGTTGAAACCTCTTAACTTCTTTGGGCTCTCTATCCTACTGTTAAGCCTGCTTGGTGACATTTGACTCAAAATACCTTAAGTCCTTAGTGAATTGTGGATGATAATAACAAAGATATCAGTCTAGGAATGGGAGGTGGGGGTGCAGGCAGAGGCTAAAAGCTGGTGACCAAAAACAAGTCAAAGGATTCTTTGTGGACCCCAAGGAAAAGGGCTCAGAGACTTGCTAGGATAACCCTAGGGCATCGGAAGGGAGCTTCAAAGAAGGGAGTGGTAGTTGAGAAATAGAATTTTAAGACAAAGGATATCAGTTAAGAGTAACAGTAAACACAGACACAGAGGCAAGCAGCTCCAGTTAGTGGGTTGAGAGTATACACACTATAATTTATTACATTTTAAACATGCTGAATTTAAGGAGCCAGGATAATATTCAAAAATGCTCAACTGTTGGGGCACCTCGGTGGCCCAGCCAGTTAAGCTGGGACTCTTGGTTTGGGCTCAGGTCGTGGTCTTAGGGTGGTGAGATGGAGCCCTGAGTGCGGCTCCACACTCAGCATAGAGTCTGCTTGAGATTCTCTCTCTCCCTCTCCTCGACCCCTTGGGCTATGTGCATGCTCTTTCCCCCGCCCCATTCTCTCCCTCTCTCTCAAATACATAAATCTTCAACTCTCAGTTGGATTCAGGAGTAGAATATAGGCTAGAACCATGGGAAGGACATGAAGTAGTGCAGGGAGTATCTCTAGAGAAAAGAATGAATGCAGAAGTTGGAATATCAGTGGCCACTGAAGAAATGTTGGAGGAGCATGTTACTGAGTCACACAGAGAGAGGCTCTGTGTATCTATTCAAGCAAGAATTTGATTAAACCAACTAACCTGCTTACCACTTACCACTGCTTTGAGGGTAAGGAAACTTGGTTACAGGACAGATGAATCAAGTTTGCATGTGCGCACGTGTGTGTGTGTGTGTGTGTGTGTGTGTGCGCGTGTGTGTGTGTGTGTGCGTGCGCACGCACGCACCCATCTCCTTGGGCCAAGCTTTCAATGCCCTATTCAAATCTCATTT